TGCTCCGGCCTTTCACCGTAAGCTTCTCACTTTAACCTCCTCCCTCTTCCATGGAAGATGCTTTTTTTTCCTGTAGCAGCGTTTTTTGCTGTCTTGCTGCCTCACCACAAATCCTCCAAATTAAGCACCATGTCATCCGTACATCTGGAATAGTTAAGACTCTCACTACTGGCATTTCACTGGAGCTGAAGTAATTCTGTCAGCAGAAAAATTCTTCCTCCTCTTCCCAAGGAACATCCCGGCAGCTTCGGGTGCAACAGGGAGTCACCTCGTGCCGGTGTTCTGCTGGAACTGGCACGGCCGTGGTCTCTGTGCAACCTGTAGCTCTTCACCTGGAGATGTACACTCCTGCCGATGGAGCAGCTGCTAGAAACTGTCGCAGTTTGAGCCTCTTTGCCTGGGTAAGAGCGTGCCTGCTTGCAGCCTGGAGCACAGAAGCTCCTCTCCAAGTCCTTGCAAAACCAGATCAACATCTCCAATAGCTCACACCGTTTTTCTTCTTTTCAGCATTGAATAGATCGTCCACTCACCGGAGTGTTGCAGCAAACCCAGCAGTAGGTGCAGGATAATTATAGTAGTTGCACCCGGCTCTCTTTAAAATCTCAATTAAAGGAGAGATCAGCAGTAACAAATCAGGAAATTAAAAGAAAAATTCCTTTGATCATTTTCCAGTTTTATGTTTCTCAATTGTTTTAGTTCAATCAAGACTCAAGGAAAAAAGTAATTTGGGTTTAGCTGGAGTTTCACAAGGGTCCCGAAGCCTTTGGAAAGCACCAAAATCTGGGTTCCTGCATCCTACTCAACACCAATCAGCACTGATGAGCTTCAGGTACCTCACTCCCTAGAGCCCTCAACACCAGACACAGATCAGATCCTTAGGGCCGTATGAAACATGAACTGAATCATGGTGTACCTCTACAGGGACACACTTCGTGGAAAAGAGACAGCCAAGCCCACCTAATTTGATGAAAAAGCGCACTAACCGAAGTCCCTCAGGCTTCCCAGGTGTGTTCATGCAGGGCAGAGGGTGCACGGGAGCTCTGTAACCTTCGGCTGTGCCGGGGGGAGCAACCTCACCCACCACACGGAGCAGAGCCCACGTCACCGCGCTTGGAACGCGCAGAGGGAGGTACGCCACGGAAGCTGCGTGACAGTTCAAATGCAATCCAGAGCTTTCATGTATCATCTCTCCGGAGTGGTCTGCATAGGAACACAAGATTTTCCAGGAACATCCGTCCTGCAGGACAGAAAACCTTAGGCAGCGTTTTGAGCTTTCAGGTCTCTAATACACTTTTAAGAATTTTTGCCTAAAAGACGCTGCTGAAGGTGAATGGAAGAGTGGCGTCAAAAGATAATTTAATTCTCAAATGAATTCAGATTTTTCAAAAAGCCAGGTTTCATCTCCCAAGCAGCTCCAACATATTCCTTTCCATTTATCATATGACAAAACAGCCCTTACCCAATTACATGATCAAATTCTTGCTGTTAGATTTTCATCTCATGCCACGGGTCACTGAAGAGGCTGTAGAGGAAAAGGTTGCTTTCTAGCTGGTCTTTCCATTTTCACTGCCAAGATGGGAATGCTGGTAGTAAAGAAGGTGAGAGGAAGGTGGAAGGAGCAGCAAACACTCCCTAGAGAGGGCTGAGCATAACGCTATACACCAGCAGTGTGGTCGATGGGAAAACAGGGGAAGAACAGACAATTCTCGAACAGATGGTGGGCAACAGTCAGCAACGGGCACTGCTCCGTGCGGGGCTGCGCAGCGTGGCAACAGCGAGGGCCACTGCGCTGCTGTAACAACGGGTCACACACCCAGGAGGTCCAGCAGAAAGTGCAAATGGTGGGGAGGTTCTACATGTGCTGCTCAGCACCAACATGCAGAAGATGTCCCGTTCACTGCAGATTTCAGCAGCTCAGGGAGGTGGGCGAGACTTCTCCCCGCCTGAGCATCCTCTGACACACTCCAGTGGGGCTCAGCACAGCTTCGTAACTTGAGCAAGCAGAGACGATGGTTTTGGGTCAGAAAACGTGAGTTGTAAATAATGGAATATAAAGCCAGGAAAGAACAGACCGAGCTGAAGCTCAGTGACACAATGAGGATTTGAGCAGATACAGCTGCACAGTTGGAATGCTAAAATTTTCAGTGCTGTGCTGGCATTTCTCAGCTCCCGGTAAAAATAGCACCACTGGTGTGGTTACCAGGGACCGCAAAAACCTGTGAGAAAGTTCCAGTGTTGAACAGGTATTAAAAATAAAACAGCCCGCTGGGAGTGTGGATTGCAAAGCCACAGGGAGAGGAATGAGGTTTGCACGTGTGAGAACAGTGACACGGGGCTGTGAGAAGCGCTGGGCCGGCAGGTTGGGGACTGCACGTCCCGCACTCGCGGGGACGGAGCGGGAGCAGCCGCTGCCCCGTTTGTGGCCAGTGCAGGGGGACACAGCCCCCGGCTTGGCACAGCACATCCAGGGACTGTGTCCGGTTACCCAGCATGAGTTCCTGGCTCTGCGTTGAGACCAGAGACCCGTGCTCGCCTTTCAACACCTGCCAGGAAAGCACAATGTAGACTTTTCCACTGATCCTACCAGCACCCCTCAGTCCTCAAACACCATTCCCGCTGCTTCAGCCAGGCAAGGGACAAGGACCTAGAGAAGACCCCAAACCATACGGTTCTGTGTATACACACACATTTTTGACTGAGAAGGTACAAAGAATTAAAGCAACTCAATCCCAACCTCAGCATCCCTGTAACAGCAGCCGACGTCCTGTGGGTCAGGTCCTTTGATTAAAGAACATAGAAGTTACTGAAAATCTATTAACTGGCCTGTACAGTTGAAAGATAGCTCAAACGAGAGAAAAATCACCCTGCTGAATTGAAAAATAAGGCCTGAATTCCCCAAGTGTATGTTACTCTTGACTTTGGCATCAACAGAAGAATAAATAGAAATGTGGTGTTTTATGAGACTCTTTGCAGAGGAGTGTATAAAGGTCTTGAGGTATGCAGAGTGTCCTGTTAAATTAGAGTCATCACAGGAATTACAGCGAGTTCAGTCCACTGTCAGGGATCTGATCAAGAACACTTAACCTGCTGCTCACAGCTTGATCCCCAAAAATCTCATGAAAGCACATAACGCTATCATCCACAGCATCTCCTATCGCTCTGAAAACATACCTCATCGTAACAACGCCATTCGAGACTCAAATCACCTTCCCTAAGCAGATAAACCGAGGGGAGCGGAGCGGCGTATGCACATACACACGGTGACTTCTGAGACAAAGGGCAGACCAGCGAGCTCGTGCTATTGTCGGTGCGCTACAAGGAGCTGATAAACCATCCGAACTACGAACGCTGTTGGAGTGGATGTCAAAAGTAGGAGCATAAAACGTACCCGTGAATGTATCCCAGAATAAATACACTGATCCAAAAGTCTTCCAGAAACACAGATTTAACGGCTGAACCTTGTAAAATGGTGACTCCACATTTTTTTTTTAAGTTTGTGAGGCTGATGACATCATATTACTAAACCTCACACAGAACATATGCAAGCGAACAATCTCCAACATAAGGCACGGCAAACATCACAGAAAGAGTTAAAGTGATTAACAGGGGTGCACTCGCCATTGCCTCCCTGCTCAAACATCCCTTGTAGCTGGATCATTTTGGAAAAGAGCTGCGAGTTCACGACCTAAAGACTTGTGTGAGCTTGTGTCCTCAGCCACTTTAACAAGACGCCTTCCCTGTTCCGAGCCCAGGTACAGAAATCGCCGCCTTCAGCCGCCGTCTCCAGCGCCTGGCAATACAAGACTTCCTACAAGGGACTTCTCCGCAAATCAGCATCAGTCGTTCCTGCTGAGCCTCACACTTGTTACTTCTTTCAACCTACCACGAGCATATTCCAGAGCTATTGTCACTGCAGCGTGATTCAATGAGCCCTCTCTCTCCCCACACCCTCATTCTCTCCTTTGCTAATTCTCCAGCCTGGAACAGCAGATGCTTTCCTATCAAAACTTTCAGTGCAGAGTGCTGACATTTGGAGATAAACAGAAAAGCACTAGGCAGGCAGCTAATTCTCATCTCATCCTGCTCAGCATTTCGATTACCATTTGCTTTTAAGATGTCTATCCACAGCACTAGTACAGGGATATGTCAGACATGCGGCCCTGCTAATAAAAAGACAACACCACACTTTGCATGTCAAACAACACTGTAGATCAGCTCAGAAATTTCACAGCACACGTAAAACCCTATTAACTGCACCACCATTTGAAGACCCAATTTGAAGCTGCAGCAAAAGCTCGTTCTCCAAACTGATTGTGGCATTACAGAACACACTTGTCCCTCTGGGTCTGAAGATTTTATTTATTTAAGCTCCCTGACCCCAGAGACCAAAATTCAGTCAACTCTGCATCAGGCATAATAATTAGACACGCGAGGGCAGGCACCGCACCGCCTCCTTCCCTTCGCCCCACGCTCGCCTCCCATGCACTGAGCCACGTAATCAGGCTCGTGCATACGAGTGCAAGCGCTGAAACCATCATCATTTTAGGGACTGACAGGCCCCGGGGCCAGGGGAAGCGGGCACCTACAGAAAATAGCAGCACAGCGCATTGCTGACTGCCGAGGTGCGGATCACACCCGGGATGGCGAGCACGCCAGGCTGGCTGGCTCACAGACTGTCTCTGGTAGCAGAGGAGCATAACTCCAGTCTGTGCCCAGCTCAAAGCCTCTCCCAAGCTTAGAGAGCCCACTAGGCTAACGTGCCCGATTGCTTAGTGCATCCCCTGTGCGCGTCAGCTCAAGGCTCTCAGATGCAGGACAAACCAAACCGGAGCCTGTGGCCACGGGAGCTGGTGGGAGCTGAATGATCAGCATCCCCAGCCAGCTGCTCCGGTTCACAGGGCTGCCAGCACACGCCCAGGGCACGGGGAAGCACTTTTGAAAAGGCATCTGAGCAAACTGAGCCTCACTCACACGCGAGGATCCCTCGGCCAACGTCCTACCTGGTGTGCGTTATCTCTCCCGCCTGCCAGTGTAAGGAGCAAGCCGAAGCCACCAAGAGCTGTCATAAACCCTGAACACGAATTCAGTGAGGCAATCATTCCCTTGGAGGGTTTATAATCTACCTTAAATAGAAGCCTCTTCACCTGGGCACGTTGCTATGGCCACTTGATCCGGGTACTTAATATAGAAACACTAAATGGCAGCTTAGGGATTTACAGGAACCTTCCCCTGAACAAAAGGAGGGGGAAGGATGGGCGGTGGCCGTGTACAAGGAGCGTGCTGGTAAGCGAAACTGGTTCCTGCAAACGATCTGCAACAATCCTTATCAAAGCTATGAACATGCTTACTTTAATCTCAAAGACTCCTTCAGCCTTCGGCCTTTCGCAGGTGCCAGCCACTGGTATCATCTGTGGAGCTTGTCCCGCGCAGACCCCTCCAAAATGAGACAAGAGCGATGCAATAAGCAATTCAGCTTTATTGATCCACAGCCTTAATGCAACATAAAGCCAGGGGTAAACACGCATCTTAGCTCTGAATGAACACTGAAAACACGATCTTTTTCTGTAAGTCGGTGACTGTGGAGTGAGAATTCAATTACTCGGTGGTAAAGTAAGAAGAGCGTAGCATTTTCTAATAGTTTCTGTATGAGAGGTCACGTGCATCTCATCTTCGCAAGAACTCACTGCGGACCAAAGAGGCAGCTGGGACACGCAGCATTGCTGTTAGTGATGAGGACCACAACCAAAAGCTTAAATTGATTGAAAACCTGCTCCCTCCCAGTTCATCTTTGTTTCGAAGAAGGTTCTGAAGGCACTGTAAGATGATTCTTACCCTCAATAAAAGCTGTTCACCAGCCAGGCTGTATGCCAGCTGCAATATCCCTTTCCACATGGAACTCCTACTGTGGGAACAACAAGCCAGTAAATGTACCCTGCTTGTAACACGGAGAAGAACTCAAGTGGGAAACCTACAGGATCTCTCGCAAGACTCTTGCCATCAGCACTCCTGAAGGTGGCATTCGGGGTTTCCAACCAGTGCCCCCAGTTCCCTCAAGCCCAGTTGGGCGCCAGATGGCCGGGCCGGGCTCACATGCCGGCAGGACAGAGAAACAGAGCTCAGGGTCTGCCCGGGGGCCGCAGCGAGACGCGGGTCAGAGCCGGCAGGCAGGCTCAGCGCCGAGCCCCCGTCCCGGAACAGCGCTGCCCCGAGCACTGGAAAGGCCTTTGCCTTGCTGGGACAGACACGCACAGCGGGAGGGTGAGGTGGCACCGCCGGGCAGCACCACGGCAACACGCGAAGCCTCTCCATCGCCCCACACCTCAACCTCTGAGCTCAGCCGGCTCTTTCCAAAGCCATCATCTTCCGAAGCCTGGCTAACGGCAGAGGGTTCCCTAAAGGCTGTTGATGTATTAGTGCCAGCAAAGCCTTGAGGGATTTTACAGCCTCCAGTAGAGTTTATCACCTATTCGGGGGTTTGTAGAAGCCCCCAGGACCATGCCTGACAGAATTCTTGTGGCTGAAAAATGTTTCTGAAAGACAGCCCTTGTGCCCACGGGATAGACCAGGCTGTGCTGTACAACAGGTATTTGCAAAAGATTTCCCTAAGAACTATAAATCCATACAAGTTCCCCCCTCAAAGCAACACTTTGAAGACTCTCTGCTCTACTGGCGACCTACCCAAGACATTTTTCAAGAGTGTTTTAAGTAAACACCAAGCAATAAAAGGTTATTCGCCAAAAGGGCCAAATGGTGTGACCTCTTTGGTCGCTGGAGTGAAAGTGCTTTGTTGTCATACAAAGAGCCTTTACCTTATTCTCTGCAGAGGTACCAGGCTTATCTCTGCGTAAGAATTATCCCTTTTATTAAAAACACTTGCTAAAATACCAGCAGCACCTCACTATGCCAGAGCAGGCACCGAGGAAGCGAAAGCCAGACAGCTAATACCCTGGATTTCATGATAATCCAAACTTCCCGTCCAATTCGGTAAAATATTTGCACCCAACCTACAGGAAGGATTTTCTCGGCACATTATATCTATAGAATGTGTCTTGTGTTGATTCTGTTGAGTAAACCCTGAAGTCAGGCCCATCAGTATTTATGGGCGTTGTGGGCAGCTCCCCCCCCGGTCGAATAGATTTCCACCAGAGCATTTGTGTCATTTCCCAGGTGCCATAAAACACATCCCTCCCCTCCCCACCGGTGTTTTATAGAGAACACTGTATAACAGATCAGTAGAAATTGGTATTTTAGCCCTACTCGACAATTTTCAATGAATCACCACCCTCCTATGAATACCACGATACCATTTTGGCAGGGGGGGGTTGTGCTTTAACAGGTACCTGCCCGTACCTGAAGCTGTATTCATCTCAACAGCCGTCCGTGCGTGGCTGCAGCCTCTCAGTTCTTGCTGGAAGAAAAATTCACATAAGGGAGCATTCCTAGTATCAGTAGCAGGGTATTGCACAGAGGATAAGACACTGGTGCCCCCACCCTTGCGCAGGGCCCCAGGCTGTCGGGTTTGTCGGGGAGAGGAGGCAGAGTCAAGCAGGACGTAGTTCTTACAGAAATACCAGCGGGACTCGCGCACATCTTTATCTTACAGCACAAGCAGCTTGCCGGCACAGATCTCATCTCCAATACACCCTAGGGGTTTTCTCCAGGACAAGCCCTCTTCCGACCCTCGAATACTGCGGGACTTCATCACTGTTTTCCGACTCTTTCCTTAGTGAAACTTCAGCAGAAGCCCCTCCCACACCCTCTGACCTCTCTCTGCTTCTCTCATTTAAACACCTTTAACTATCAGACTAATTATGTTAAAGCCACATCCACCCCTAACAATGGTTTCGAAATACACCAAAAGGAAATAACGGTGTTGAGGCAGGACCCTGACGAGCAGGGGAACACTCTTGGGAAACCTGCAAGGCGTCAGTCAGGATGTTCCCCTTCTGCTTTCCCGACACAATTCATGAAACAAACATGAGCGTTGCTGCCAGTTGCAGACTTCTGCATAAACACACACCGTCAGAGATGTCCAGGTGCAGTTTTATGCACCAGCCCTTCGGAGCGCTTCACTGAACACCCCCGACGGCCTGAGGTCGTGCCCGCTCCCCCCCGCGCACCCCTCCCACGGGAGCGTCACCACTGCGGCGGTGGGAATGACGAGAGCATCCGCAGGACTTGCCTTTCATCCAGGACTTTGAGCAACTTGTGAACACCAGGTTTCAGGTGTTCTGACACGCTCACCAGCGCAAGCTTTCCAGGTACAGGTTTGTGTTAAGGTGACCTCAGAATTATGTAGAAACGGAGCAGGAATTTAATGAATGGCAGTGTGCCTACATGTTGGCCTGAGGTATGTAAATGCCTTTCTCCGGGAACTGCTATCTGCCAGGGTATCCCACTAAGCAATTCCCACATGTTCTTCTCCCAAAGGTAGCTCAGACCCTCGGGATCCTCATTTCCATCAATGCCAACTGAACCCAAGCCTCTCGGGCTGTTGCCTCTGGTTTGTGTGTGGCTCCTCAAACACTGCTGATGCCTGAGGAGCTCCACTGCCAAGAGCAGAGCGCGGGGTACCCTAAGAGACATGTCCAAACCCAGCCAGGAGGAGAGCGTGGGAAAGGCAGGAAAGAAACTGGACTTTGGGGGCTGATAACCCAGCCAGAGACACAGCTGGACACATTCCTCTAGTCCAACAGCTCTAAACATTAGAAGCCTCATCCATGTCTTATAGCTTATCCCACTGCTTCTAGCTAAATTAATTTAAAAATTATGTTCTCAGCACTTGTCCCCTTCACACGCTAGGAGCCGATTATCACAGCCACTCTTAGTTGCCATTTATCCAACTGAAACATTTTGTTCTTTTAATCTTTCCTTTAAGTTCTTCAAGCTCCTTAATCATTTCTGTTGTACGTCCCCGACTTCATTGTAATGCACAGCTTGCTGGCATTTGGGTACTCTCGATAACAACACTCCTAAGTTAATAGAGTCATGCCAAGAACGAATCTGCCCAAACTGGCAGAAGCGTTTTTAAGAGGCCAAACCCCCGTAATCCCTCTTCAGATGGCACTGGTAGGGCTGCACCCAGGTTTCTGCGTTTGGTTCTCCATACCTAAATACTAAAACTTGTAGAGAAGTGAATGACTTAATTATCTCAACAAAAGATTGATTCTTCCCCCCACGACATACTACGGACACCCTACATGCTAATACATCCTACAACTTCCTTCCATCAGCCGCAGATTTCTTTGCCCCTCACCTGCTCCTCCGTTTTCCAACTGTCGCTGCTCTCCCAGTCTCAGGCACCTCCCGGAGGAGAAACCACACCAGCGAGGAAACCTTTTCCCTTCCCAGGCAAAGACTGTGCTTTACCTTATTTTCTACATACAAGATGTAACCCTTGAATAAAGAGAGTCTCATTTTACAGATCTTCAAACGTTTTCACCTTCCTGGTGATCCCTTTGTGAAATTATTTCACCTTCACGCGATTTCCGGAGCCGCGCGCAGCGAGCGCTGCCCTTGGGGCCATCCGAAGCAGGAATGCCTTCGTGCCTCTGCACACTGCTGGCTCAAAAACACCAACCCCAAACCCCCAAACCCGATACACTTGGAGGACAAAAAGCATCCGTAGCTGTCGTAGCCCAACCCCGCAATCGGACCTTACGGCACCGCTTAGATTCCAGAGGGGATGTGTTTGAAGAGGCAGCACGGGGAATCACGCGAGCAGCAGGCACGCTGCCTGGGGCTGTCCGTTTCTTTTGGCTGTCAGGGTTTTCCAGTTTTGTTTTATAGTTTCCTTTGGCTCTATAAAATACTTTGACACACTGCTGCAGACCTCTGGCTTGCTTTCTATTCCATTTTTTTTCTGACTAAGTGAGATGCCACTTTGAAAGGCATTGAGGCATCACCGCTAAATTACACCCACCGTTTGTGCAGACAAGCATGTAGTGAATTTACTCCTACTTACCCGTTCAACATCTAATTCTGTTGGTGCCAAACCCCTGTGCCAGGCGGGGCAGACGGACGCAGCACCCCTTCCCCCCGAGGTCTGCGCACACCAACCCCGGTTAGTTCAGCAGGACGCGCTT